CGGTGGGAATGTTGAAATATTGTTAAAGATTGTCCTAAATTCAAAGTTGTGCCTGTTGGTCCAGAAGTATGCATGAGCAGCATCCCTCTACACAACACCTTTGTACACAGCACCCCTCCACACTCTACACCCGATCATGGCTCCCATGTTGATGAAGAAGATGGAGAAGAAGTGCCTGAAACGCCCATTCCTGAACAAGCGTCGGGGTCGACCCGTTATCCAATTAGGCCTCAAGGTAAGAAGGCTTCAAAGAGGAAATGGAGTTCTTCCAAGAATGATTATGGAAAGTACATGCAAGAACTTGTTCGTCAAGGTGAATTGACGTTGGCGCGGGAATTAGCGAAATATGAAGCTGAAAAGGCTAGAGATGAGGCAAAAGCTGCAGCTATTCAACAAGCATTTCAAGCTGAACAGAGGGAAAAAGAGCTACTTAGGCAAGAAAGGGAGTTGCTTAGAGAAGAAAGAATTGCACAACGAGATCGTGACATTATGAACACGCGTTTAGAAGGGATGTCTCCAAATTCTAAATATTTTTGGCAGTCAGAGAAAGCCGATGTGGTGCAAAGGAGGCGTGCAAGAGAAGCGAGATCAAGACAAGATGGTCCTAGCATAACAAGACAAGATGATCCTAGCACCACATATTGGTTAAGTGATGATCCTAGCACCACAACAAGACAAGATGGTCCTAGCACAACAAGACAAGATGGTCCAATCACTTTGGGTTGTAATTTATTATTTATGTTGTTTCCATTTTATTGAAGTTAGTACTTTATTTAAAGTGAGAGTACATGTATTTAATTTCGTAATATATTTATCCTAATAATAGAATCTTTATTCATCAAATTGTTCACGTATAATGAAATTATAAAACACACCAAATAAAACTAAAAAACTCACCAATTGGAATTACATAAACACACCAAATAAAATTACATAAACATACGAAATAATAAAAAACTCACTACAAAAAACACACCAAATAAAATTACATAAACACACCAAATACAAACAAACATACTTAATAAACTTAAGTATCTTCAGCTTGTTTCAATACCCACTGGTACTCTATCAAGTCAATTGCCGATCATTGTGCATAGATAACATTTGAAGTGCAGTATATCGTTGAATGACCCTTTCATTGTAACGTCCATCCCTTTCTAATGGCTCGTGTTGCACGGGTTCTTCGATGGCATCATGCGCATAATATATCCGTGTTCTTGAATTGTTCATCGTGTCTGGCTCTGGCTCATATTCATCAACCGCATCATAATCGAACTCATCTTCCACAATCATGTTGTGAAGAATGACGCACGTCATCATGATGGATCGAAGTGACTCTACATCGAACATTCTGGCAGCCACCCTGACGATCGCCCAACGAGCTTGAAGGATACCAAAACAACGCTCCACATCTTTCCTGCACCCCTCTTGACAACTTGCAAAGTGTTTTTCCTTTGCACTTCACGGACGTGGCACTGTTTTGACAAATGTTTCCCACCGTGGGTAAATGCCGTCAGCTAGGTACTATGGCCCGTCGTACCTACGTCCGTTGACGACGTACGTGACTTTTGGTGCCTTTCCTTGCAGGACGTCGTTGAACACTGGGGATTGGGCAAGGACGTTGAGATCATTTTGAGCCCTCGGAACCCCGAAAAAAGCGTGCCATATCCATGTATCAAAAGATGCCACTGCCTCCAAAATGATAGATTTTGCTCCTTTTCTGTCCCCATATGCACCTTGCCATGCACTTGGATAGTTTTTCCACATTCAGTGCATACAATCGATGCTTCCTATCATCCCAGGAAAACCTCGCATCTCGCTCTTCTTCAGAAGCCTTTGCAAGTCCATGCGAGTAGGTTTTCGGAGGTACTCTGCTGTGTACAAAGATTCGACTGATCCGCAAAACCTCATCAGGGCCTCAAGAATGGTTGATTTCCCCATCCTCGTTATCTCATCCACTTGGTCTGTAGATGCTCTATACGTAAGCATCCGCAACGCAACAGTGATTTTTTGCTGAGGCAGGAGACCCATAACACCACAAACATCATTCTTTTGCACAAAGTAAGAATCATGGTTGCAAACATCAGTCATGATTCTGTTGAACAAATGTCGTTCCATTCTAAAACGGCGTCTAAAGTACGTATCAGGAAATGCACTGTTATGGACAAAGTAATTGTCCAACAGCTCTTCACCCCGTCGTTGCCTGCTTCTATCAAGGTTTCTTGAACAGTTGGGCTTGCATATCTGAGCAACAGTCTGGATGACTCGACGGGAATGTGAGGCTCTGGCTATTCTTGTTTCGTCATCTCTCCTTCAACGCTCCTCATCCTCTTCCATCTCATTTTCAGCTATCTGAAGGTTGAACATTCCTTCAGATTGGTTAAACAATTCTTCCTCTTGCTGATCGATTTCCCACATCATCCTTGATAAAGAAGCAGACATTGTAAGGATGGATGGTGAAGAAGAAGCTGAAACTATGAATAATGAGATAGAGATGTTGAGAAAATTGGTGTGAGATTTGTGAGGATGGATGGTGGATTATATGGACGATTCAGAAAGGATCGGATTGTAGATGAGGCCACGTGGCATGCCGTCATTCGTTAAAAATCTGATTGAAATCTATCCGCAAAGATTCTGAAAAGATAATGACACGTGGCACGATCGTATTGGATAAAAATCTTATCGAAATCGATCTCCAATAATTATATTTTCGGATAATGACACGTGGCGCAATTTTGAACGAGTTAAAATCTGATCGAAATCTATCGTCAAAGATTCTCAAAAGATAATGACACGTGACACGATGACATTGGATAAAAATCTTATCGAACTCCATCGCTAAATAATTGTTTTTTTTTATAAAATGACACGTGGCGCAACGAGAACAATTTAAAAAATCTTATCCGAAATTATAAATAATTTTATTTTGTATTATTTAAACAAACAAAAAAAATAATATTTTATTGCCTATTGCCAGGGGAGGGCTCCAAGAGTGGAGATGCAAATGACAATTACTGTTCATTAATGACAGTTACTATTCATTAAAGGCAATTACTATTCAATAGGATGGATACAATAGTGAATTGCCATGGGGGAGGACTCCATAGGTGGAGTTGCTCTGAATGGGCTTCTATGTCATGGATTCTATTAAAATTTGATCCATTCCCATACTTCACAAGCCCATATCACTTCAAGAGTTGGAATCTTCTTTATTCTGACCGTCCGTACGTAAAGTACTATATAAACCTAAAATACTGTCCTAAGGTACATTTCTATCGTGGTTGAGTTTTTGCTGGCATAGCACAATACTACTTAACCTCCTGACCAATACGTAAAAAGAAGATTTCAACTTGAGTGCTAAAAGCAAATACACTGTTGTAATTAACTAATCTAACTTCTACAACTGCAACTCGTAATTGTTGATATTTGCGGTACACATTGTTCATGATCATTCTCGTTTTCAACTTGGCAATTGTTGAGCCTCTTTTCATATATATTTATAAGATAACTAGGAATCAATTCCATCACAAAACATAGATAAGGTGAATATATTGCCTATCTAGCTCGCTTTTCAAAAATGGGAGAATACAAATTACAAATTGCCATATTATATATAATATAGATGAAGTATCATTTTTCTCGCCACAAAAGTCTATCATTAGAACCTACAAAGTGCGACATTACATATACTAATATATAGTTAAATTCCATGAGTGCTATTGGTTCGAGGAACCTCCTAATATTCATCTTGATGTTTTGTTATCGGATTGTAGCTGTTAAATTTGCTGGTTTTCTTTTCCAGCTCTTTTTGTATAGTGCTACTGCTTCTCTTTATCTAATGAATCTATGCCGTTGCTTTCAAAAATAAAATAAAATAAAGATAATAACTTTGTACGATGGAAGATGTAATTAGGAAAGAGATTTGGGATTGGGAAATAGCTGCTAGCGTATTTTACTACAATATTTTGGAATAATTCAGCAAAAAAGCAATGGTTAACTTCAAAAGTAACTCTCTTTTGCAAAGATTTGACAACAAATATAATGAAACTTTTAGCTTCACTCATGTACATTAATTCCTAGCTAGCTCATTCCTTGGGAGTTCCTCCACTTAAGAATGAGATTATAACGCAAAAGATTATAACGACAACTAAGTACATGGACTTGTAGTTTTCCTTAATTGCTTGATTTTTACTTAAGCAAGACGTTTGACAAAATATCCCAAAGAGACTGAGAAGTAGGAATTCAAAACAATCTAAATTCTCTGTCAACGGAAAAGTTTCTAAATCTATCACTAAGCGCATAACAAGCGCCATGCAATGAGCTAGAACAACAAAAGAGGAACATAACTTAATATGATACTTCCTTCCTTTTCAACTTCATAGATTCTACTAGCACACACCATACCGATTCCAAATGACTATCATGATGATAATTAAAGTGTAATAGGAATAAGCATTTAGTTGATTGCTAACTAAATGTGTTTATGTAAAGCTTTGAGGCTGTCTGGATGAACCCCACGAGAACCGGAAAGACCATATATATTTATGCGTGATGGAACAACACTATCAAGAATATATATTTACATATAGCTGCAATAAAGTCGATAATCCAATTAAAATTTAGATTAAGCATCATAGAATATAACGCAAATTCGCGCACCTCATAATCTTCAGCCTACTATATCACATTCGATTAATGCTTTTGCATGGCACCGACCTATGCTAATTAATTTACTCATAGGTAACAATTACCTTGGGTTAAGGGGTGAACAACAACGGACTCTTATTATTTATGTAATGGTGACCATATATGCTAACTATCTTCTTTCGTTTTCCATTTGTTCACTTTCTTAAATAATTAAACCAACTAGATTATTATCAACTTGAAATAAGAATTGTTTTTTGGGTTACATCAGAAGAAATTGAATCGTGTTCTTTTTCTTTGATAGGACATTAATTATGTTCTTTCGATTATTAAATCAAGGAAATATGTACTTATAATTTGAAAGAAAGTGTGACAATCGATCACTCATCATGTTCTATTTGATTAACATAGTATATTTAGGAATACATTCAAAAGTGATATGTGTAGTTACATTGTACTTTAAGCCGCCGGAAGATTAAAAGGAAAATACAACTGAGTTAACCCTTAATTATTTGGGACAGTTATAGATTGGTGCGCATATAATATATATGCTCCAATTAATGTTAATGATGCTAATTAGAGCCACAATGCTCCTGCATCTTTTAGCAATTTCTTTAGCGAACCATTGAGATGAAGTGTCATGACTGTATTGGCTGATCCCACAAGTTTGCCACCAATGAAGACAGCAGGAACTGAGGGTTGGCACCCTAGCCTTATCAAAGCCCACTCCATCTCCTTCCCTCTTGACTCCTCATCGAGCTCATAGATTGCAGGACTCACTCCTTGTTCGTAAAACAATCTCTTGATTGCATGGGACATGCAGCACGAGCTCTTGCTGAATATGACTACGGCCTTTTGTGATGCTAATTTTGCTACACGATCCATTTGATTTATATACTATCAACCTCAAATAGCAAGAAGAAATTCAAATGTACCACAAAAAATGAAATGTATGTGGCTAATATGAAAATTAATTGGTAAGGATGACTACGATCAGATTAGGGTTTAAAGACTTAATGGAGTTTTTGTGGAAGCCAAGAAAACTAGATGGGTAGGTGAGGAAAAATTGTGGAAATGGAGCAAATGTAGGTAATGATCAGCTTGTGGGTATGCAACTTAGAAGAAGTAGTAGTAGAAGATTGGTTTGGCGTTGATGGAATTGGATATCTTATGAGCATGTATATATAGGCTAGCCAAATGGAAAGCTAGCAAGGTGGGATTACATATTATATGCATTTTTTTAATCCAATATGAAAAAGGGAATGCAAAAGCAGAAGGTTCCTTCAGATATTTGGATTGATGCCCAAACTGCCCTTGATATGAAAGGCACTTGTGTGGCTTAATACACTAACCTTGTGTGCCAAGAATATAAGATACTATAGAGATAAGCCAAACGTGGCCGAAAGTGGAATAAAAATGAAGTTATGGGACTATGGTTTTCTTTTTAGAAATGCTAAGGGACTCTTTCAAAGTGAGATTCTTTATGGATTCTCCGTCATCTTACAGTTTAATGTCGATTATCGTGCCAATATTATAAAATATTATACTAAGAACATGAGATGGTAAAGAGCTTATAAAAAGTCTCATTCTTAAGAGAGTCTCTTTCGCAATTTTTTTTTTGAGGGACTTGAGCATGATAACGAATGTCAACTTTAGATATAATTAGGTGTCAGATGAAGACGCGCACGAATAGTTGCATCACACAGAAGATGATGCTGTGATGCATGCATCGGACTTTAAGAATTTTAAGTTGGCAAATTTACAGATGATGTGTGCATGCATAGCTAGAATATCAATCCGAACTAAACAAGAATTTCAAAAGGAGAGTGAGAGAGATGGAACTGGCCACGCCACTTCTGTGTATGTCTTAAGTCGGAACAATTTTTTCAAGAATTTTAAATACATATTTGTCGACTATTTATATTATAACATGTGAGTTTATAACATCAATGATCATGCAGCTATTACACTCAAAATAATCATAAAAAAATTACCATCGAAATTTGGTGTTGACTGTCGTCTTATCCTGATAGTTATTAATTTGTCAAGGATCTTGTATGGGAATATAAAGTTAGGAAAGTAGGAGGTTGTGTTTTGTTTCCTTAGCTAGTATTTAGAGGTATAAGTTCTAAGTTAGCTAGCTTGTCCTTGTGGATTTGGTTTACTTGTTCAACAAAGATTGTTTTTCTGTTTGTCCTGTTGGAAAATATAAAAGTGAAACGTGATCATGTTTAGTCTGGGATGATCGTTGATCGCGAAAATGAAGGTGGTGCTTAATTTGGACAATAAAAATATATACTTTGACAATTATATTCACAACACAAAGGCCTATATACAAGTGTGTATACTTGACATATAATTAAGTAAGGATCTCTACAAATCATGAGTACAATCAGAATCACATTACAATATTAATTCTATATCATAGGAGATATATTTTCAAGACTCTTTCTCTAACACACCACCCCACCCCCCCCCCCCCCCCCCCCCCCCCCCCCAAAAAAAAAAAACAAAAAAAAACCGTGCGGTCAAGATACAACAAGTTTGAACCGTAGAAGAAGAAACAATGTTTTATAGAGACCCCTTGTCAAGATATCCGCATGTTGATCCGGGGATGGAATGAACTGAACTCTATGAGTGCCAAGCTTAAATGTTCACGAACAAAATGATAATCTAACTTAATATAAACACCGGGTTGGCTGCCATTTATGTAGTACTGAGATTATCACAAAACAGATAGGTGAGCAAAGAGGCCTGAAACCGAAGTTCATGAAGTAAATAGGACACCCAAAGAGATCAGGCACAGGTGTGAGCAAGAGCCTGATATTCAGACTCCGCACTAGAGAGAGAAACAGTAGCCTGTTTTCCATGATATGAGATTCAGGCCTAGAAATAAGAGATAGTCGGATGTCGGTCGACGAGTTTCAGAACAAGCGGCCCAATTGGCATTAGAGTAACTCTAGAGTAAGGGGACCAAGGTGAGGCCAAAAAATTAAACCGAAGTCCTAAGAACCTTTAACATAACATAGAACACGTTTGGCAACAATTAAATGCGTCATAGTCGGACGAGCCATAAGCTGAGCAATTGGTTTATCGGAAATGCAATATTAGAACCAGTCATAATGAGATACTGCAATGAGCCAAGGAGAAGTGGGATCAGAAAGAGGAGTAACATATAGAAAATATAAACCTAGCACAAAGGCCTATATATACAAGTGTGTGTACTTGACATACAAAGAAGGATCTCTACAAAATCAGGAATACAATCAGAATCAGATTACAAAATTAATCTTTAAAAATACTCCTTTAACAGGACATACATTTATTGCTTATGCTTGTTTAGGATGGATGTAGATCCGTTTTATCTTCACTTGGCACCACTTTGTGATTTTTTGTTATTTGGTATTAACATTAGTACTGGCAATGGATGTTCGCATTGGTATTGGAATCTTTCATTGACACTGACACTAGGCATTGGAATTGATACGGGCAATGAAACTTTACATCAGCATTGGCATGCATGGGCATCAAGAAGGGCATACTCATCGGCTTTCTGTAAGCAAACTCAAGATGTGGTGTATCATCACCGTGAGTTTGACGGAAAGTGTTGAAAAATAATAAGTCTGGAGTTTGTGTTTTGTTTTTCTAAGTTAGCCTTTAGCGGTAATAAGTTATGAGTTAGCACGTCCTTGTGACTTTAGTTTTGCTTGTTCAACGAAGATTGTTCTAATTTATATTTTCTACTAATTAATGTTGGATTGGTTTCCTGTTTTTCCAGAATTAGTTTCTGGCAAGATGTTTCATTTTGTGTTATGTAGTCTTTTTGACAATTTTATTGATTTTTTTTCCTTTGTGTTTAAAATTAAGATTCAGGATTTTGCAATTCTCTCTTCTTTTCGCCTTTTTGGTTTGTTAACACCTTGAAGGTTGCCTTAAGTTGAACAAAGCCCTTCGGGCAGATACAAGCCCTCTTTAAATGCATAGTGATGGTCCTTTGAGATGAGTCCCCAACAGTCTCTTATCTTTTCCGAAACTACAAAACTCTAGTAGAAGAAGTGAAGAACAATGATATGGAGAAATATCTTTTGTCATATTATTCAACAAATTGTTGTTTATGAGATTTAAATTTAGGATTTTCTTTAACAAAGTAGGTAACCTGATGCTGTTAAATCAATTAGTAAGATTGTTTATTTGAAGAAATCTTAAGATTCTTATTTACGTATTCCCTCCACCATCTAAGTCTTAAGAGGTACGCACTCTGCATATTATTTGGTTTCAAGCTTTGTATATACAAGCGTTACTTTTTATTTTTTTAGATAATATACAAATGTTACTTTTACCATTACAAAATTCGTAAGTACAAATCAGGATTGAAAATTTGGACAAGATTTTGTTAGTTTTTATCAGAACTCTCTCGAATTACCATACAGAAATATAAAAGTGCTAGTCAAGCTAACTAACTTGTCACAAATACATCACTCAAGACTTGATATTTTAAAGCTAGCTCGATATATCTACAGAGAAATATTAAATAGTACAGTACTACCACGTGACACTAACAGTTTGTAATACTCATCAACATAAATATGACATGTGGTGGAGCAAAAAAGCTAACGTCGTGTTAAACATAAGTTAACGGAGTTTCATGCTTTTCATAGCCCAATCCTCTTTTCTTAATTGGTAGAACCCTAGCAGAACAAATCTTTCTCCTGTGGAAGCCTTTGAGCGTTTCGGAGTACGAATGTGGTCGGGTAATTTCTTCCAAGAAGCCACTGATACAATTAACTCTTCTCCATGTTTGAAATCAGGGCGTTCCTTCATGTCGTGAGATTTTTTTCTTTTAAATTTTTTTGTTTCAATTTACAAGCACCCATTGGGATTCTTCTCTTTGCCTCCTTTTTTTTTTTTTTTTTTTTTTCCCATTTTATTAATTTTGACCTTATCTTTAACTTGAATTTGTTTTAATTGTTTTTTTCTTTTGAGAATTTGTTTTTTCCTAGTTTGGCTTTTCTTATGCAGGTTCCAAAATCTGGTGTGAGCCTCTATTGTTTACTAGTTCGTTTCATTTGATTAAGCGCAATTCTGATATGTACCAGGAACTAGAAGAATGTCTATCAAGGTCTGATGAAACTCCAGGAAATGCTACATATCCTTTCAGTAACATGTCATTGGATGGAGATTGCAAGATTGAAAGACAACTTCTAATGGGATTTTTGTTAGTACTCAGATGGCGTGGAGAAAGGGATGTGAGATGTTAATTAATGTAAACCAAGATCAACCATTGATCTTATTCTTATACTCCTAACAGTTAATAATACCCAGGCATGAGTTTTTTCCCTTAGCAACGACTTTGCCACGTGTCATGTTTTTGTTGGTGGATACTACCCGTTGTCAGTGTCACATGGTGGTACTATATCATCTAATTTCTTTTATATATACCCCCATAATTATTTGAAAAATATTGGTATCCCTTAATCATCAATATACAGCTTAAATTCCTTTGTCAAGGTCATAGAGATAAATCAAACACATGCTTAATCTGTCAACGTGTTTAACGCTGATATTTACAGAACAAAAGAAAACATCGATGTCAAAATTAGCAACTTCCCTAATCAGAACTAGGAATATGCCACCACCAACAACAGAGCACAAATGGCAGCCAATCTTAACAAGATTTTGGTACAATATTTTGATATTTTATAGAACAAATAATACGTACCATGAAGGTTCTAAGTGGGTGGATAATAAATGGATGATCATAATATGATCCTTTAGCAAGCTATTGAAGTAGATCATATAAAGAATATATTGTTCGATAATATGTGGAAATGACATGTTTATGCACAACATGAGTTGGAGAGAGATTTTGTTCTTTTTTTTATTTCTGCTTTAAGATTTTGGACGGAGAAGTATTATTCTGGCTGTTTCGCATCCACAAAAGCATGCATTAATATATATATAGTTACGATGTGGGACACACGCTTTTGTGTTTTGACACATATTTTAACATTTATTTTGCAAGAATCACTTCGTAATGCATTTTGACAATCTGAATAATTTATATTTTAGTAATCATTCATAGGTCATCCTTGTAAAAATTCAAATAAATCCAAAATCATTAAGGCATTCATTTGTAATTAAGAAAATAGACGAATACGGTTATACAAGAAAACACCAAATTTAATCCAACAGTCATATTGTTTCAAATTTAGTGATTTTTTGTAGACATGATCTTTGAGAATAACCTAAAAGATAGACGGTCTAGATCATTAAAATACGTTACAGATCAAACTCTAAAAAAACATGTGTCAAAATATATGACAAAAAAATGTGTCTCCGGATATTCATTAACTTATATATACACACACACACACATAATATATATATATAATATATATATTATTTATTCATTATATATAGGAAAAATTAGGTTATCATCTCTATTTTTTCTACTTCATTAATTAAGACCTTATTCATTTTCAATTTTTAATCAAGGTCTTTAGGTTTTATGAACCTCATTAATTATTTCAATAATAAAATATTACATGTCAAGATAATTAAATTTATTTATTTTTAATTAAATTGTATTTCTAAATATATTCATTTAGCGTTAGAAACTTTACATTTGCTACATTTATATTTAGGCTAAACTTTGTATCATATATTTCTATTTTTAGTTTGTACCCATTTTTAATTTGCAAGCTTTTTTTTTTTTTTTTAAATTATACCAATTTTCTTTTCAGTTTCAATTTGTACCCATATATTAATTTCTTATTGTGCCCATATTTTAAAAACTTTTATTTAAAATCATAACTTTTTAACCTTTTATTTGTACTGTAATTTATTTACAATGTACCCATTTTTATTTAAAAATGTACCACTTTGTTACATGCAAAATGTACCAATTTTTTGTTTTGTAAGTACCATTCATTTTATGTAAAATGTACCAATTTTTTTAATGTAAAATCTATTTATTTTTTAATATAAGATGTACCCATTGTTTTTTTATATAAAATATACCTCTTGTTTTTTTATATAAAATGTACCAATTTAATTTATATGCAACGTGCCCATATTTTTGCATATATAAAATGTACCAATTTTTTGTAAGTGCAATGTACCCAAATTTTATTATATAAACGTACTCATATTATAAAAATAAAAATCTAAAATGCACCCATAAGCAATTTTGTTGTTGTTGAAACCCCATAAGCAAATTTCAATAATTAATTGGTGGTGTAAATAAAAGCAAAATAACGGTTTGAGTCTTTATTGATATTATTACATATCTTTTGTTACTATGTTATTTATGTAGAGAGGGACCTCAATCTAAAACTTAAAATCATGGTTTAAAATATCCATAATATCCCGATATTTCCATCAAAATTTCTGTGTTTTTGGACTACCAATATTTCCGATATAATCGATATTTTAGACCTTGCTAAGTCACTCATGTATCTTACTATGCAATGTATAAAGTGTAAAATATTGTACTAATTCATTATATATAAATGATTATGGTGTGTTTAAACTTCTTTTATTAATTATTACATATTTTCTACACTCACAATGTTTGCCAGCTCGCTATATAATCAACTTAAATCAGTTATATCTATTATGCAATGCATTTCTTTCCAATTTTTGTGATTAACTAATAGATAATTGACTAAATAAACATCTTGCAAAGTTTCAATAAAAATTTTCAAGTTTTTCTTACAATTTCCGTGGTTTTTATTCAATTTTTATCGATATCGATAATATCCCAATATTTCCATCGAAATTTCCATGTTTTTGGACTACCGATATTTTCGATATCATCGATATTTTATATTTTCCTTAAAATGCATAAAGTTTGAGTTTATAACAGTTAAGAACCAGGAACCACAACTAAACTATCCAAATAGGGGGCCTCATGAAGCCCACTTTCTCTCTCTTTTGAGAAGGAATAAAACAATCGAGAGAATATGTAACTGTACCTGACCTCATCAACCAAAACCCTAATTTGTGTGATGCCACGATCCGTCCTCGCGTAATTACTTCTTTATCTTCAATAACTTTTCGCTTAAAAAGTTGACATTCTTATTCCAACTTACGCCACCCACACACGTATGACCTTATCCCCACACACATTCTCTCACATATTAACTACCGTGAAAAGAATACTCAAGAAAGGTACACATATCATATATGTTAAAGTGTGAAGGTTCATGATACATGAATAATATTGAATAGTCAAACAATGATCCATGAATGAGAACATGAACATTTGAACAAACACTTGAATAATAAGGTTAATTATTTTGTCATGACTAACGCTGAATTAAGTTACTAACTAGTTAGTTTTTGAATACTTTTGTATATATAAGACCTCTTACTCTAGATTGCAGTTAACGTGTGCTTAAATATATATATATATATATATATAAAAGTTTTTCTATATTGTGGTTAACAACATATTTAAATGTGCACATATCGTTGACATGAAGTTAATATATCGTTTGAATACTGCAAACTTACGTGTCAATATTTTATCCGCAGTAGAATGATTGATATATGTTGTATATGATTATATGAAAGACATGCATGCATATGTACGAGATCATAAATAGCCATGCATGCATGCATGATTGCATATACATGCTGTAATAAGTACGAGAGAGTACGGTCAAGGAAACCTACAATATGACTCTTGGCAAAGATGACCCTTGGCTAGCTCCCAATTGGCCAATATTGCGCCATGTAGATAAGGCAAATAGGCCATTGTTCCTTAATAAAGTATTCTGTCACAGGCTTTATACAGGTTGCGACACACACATGAGAATATGAAATGAGACCTGAAATCACAGATATGATATACATATGGCATAAAGAATTATAATACCTATATATATGTGACAGATATGATCTACATATGCAATAAAGAATTATAATACCTATTTATATACATATATATGAAATGAGTAGTATAAATCACGTATAGCTAATAGACGTTACCATCAATTTGCATGATCAAGATTCGAAGTAGTGATGGAAAGTCGATCAAAAGAAAGTGAAAGATCCGGACCTTTCCAATTGATGGGAATCATTCTTCTAGAGATGATTGATCAATATATCATCATGTCGATCGACCTTTCAAAAACGTTTGTTTATGCATGGGCGGTCCAGACTGGATATTATTAATTTCTTGGAACATAGGCAAGAAAATAACAAATAGGGTAAGAAAAAAGCAGTTAACTACATCACTTTGACATGGAAAGATATATATAGAAGATAACATTTGGGACCAAGGTAGGACCTAATGGCATATCGCTTTGTCTTCTTCCATGTACGGCATCGTGTTTTTGGATTTAGGACGTGCCCCACCGTATCGTCGGTCGAAAGAGAGAGGAGAATGATTAGTTAACTAAAATTTTAGTTTACGTCGCAAATTTATTTTGACATTTCAAAATGCAATGAAACCCAATGGCCTCGTTTGGCACATTGGTTTAAGTATTGGATAGAATGAATAATACGGAGGCAAGATTTATACACTAAATAGTCGCCGGATTAACGAATACGGTCCAAATTGATTAGTACGCCTCATACTCGCTAGTTAGTAAGCTCAAAAAGCTCAGTATAATTAGTCAGTCTCAAAACTAAAAAACACGCTTCGCACCCCTCTCGCATTTGCTCCGTCGTCTCACCTCTGTTGCTGGAGATTTAGACCTAAATCAGCAGAACCACTCCCACTCACACCTGATTGCATCATCTTCCTCATGGATGTTTTCTCATTTCATCTTCATTTGTCTTCCTCTTCCTGCAATTTTCCATTTTTTTCTGTCTTTTTCTCTTCATGTCTTGTATCCTTTAATTTGTGATTTTTTTCTTTCTATTTGATGGATCTGTGATTCTCGATAATTTGTTATTTTTTCTATTTGATGGATCAGTTTGTGATTATCATTTTGGTATGGGTTTCAAAAGGATCCCGAACCCTTGAGCACTTCGTCTTCCCCGTTCGTCTTTATTTGGGTTTCTTTTGTTTTGTGATTTTTTTTTTTAAATTTGAATTATCATTCCAAAAATATTATTAACAAGTAATAAAAAATAAATGACCGATCCTATTAATACGGTCATTAGTCCAATATTGCACTAAGCACCCGACTAATTTAGTCAGTACTATCCGACGAATATTTATCCTATCCGACTGAAATAGTCAGTATAGTCCGAGATGCCAAACGAGGCCACTATGTATTAGGCTTCTTGTGGGGGACCTAATTATGCATTAGTACTTGATAAGTTTTTTGAGTTGTACGTAGTTTTGACATGTATGAACACTGCAAATGTATAATTCTTGTCGGCGTGTATTTTCTCTTTCACTTGGCTTTCTGTGTCATTTTCATGAATTGGATGCGAATCCAAATGCAAAAAAGGAGGTCCCAAATGGATAAAACCAACTCGTTTCTCCAACTCAGCAGATGCTCTCAAGGATAGATACGGCAGATCAAATACAACAAACCCTTTGTTGTAGTGTGCTGTTGATCATCAACTCACCGAGTACCATAGCCCTTTCTATGGGCAGAAAAAGTAGAGCATACAGAAATGAGTGCGTCTTCGTGTTAACATGTCACATGGTGTTACCGTCCCAAAAAGAAAACCCTAACAACAAATATGTAAATAATCAATCTAGAACAAGAGAAAGAAATGAAAAATGGATACAGCAAAGGTGCGTGTTTAGGCAATAGGCATATATATGGAACAAGTTAAGAATGTGAAGCCGTACAAATTAAGGACACGTCTCTAGAATTTCCGTATGCAAAAAGATTCGGTTAATTTTTGTGCATGCAACTTTCATCCTCTTAGCTATAATTTGCAACATTTGAATCGCATGGCCTAATTAAATATCTATAGGAACATTCCTATTTTCCTTCACTATCAGATGAAAGAGCCCTTTAATTTCTAGCTATCTAAAGCCAACAATGCCAATCCACTCGTCTCCCATGTCCCTACCCTATATAAACCCTTCCATCCCTCCCCAAATACTCACAACATCAAACTTCAATCGTCTCGAGTCTCAACTATTCGCATTGCTCTCCTTACCCTTTTCCCAACTTCAAAATTATACTTTTGAAAACTACTACTATCTGCATTTTGATCAGCAATGGAGGCGGTAACAAAGATGGCGTCCGAGAGACCAGTGGTAATCTTCAGCAAGAGCTCGTGCTGCATGTCTCACTCGATCAAAACCCTGCTTTGTGACTTTGGGGTGAACCCAGCAGTGTATGAGCTTGATGAGATGCAAAGAGGGAGAGAGATAGAGCAAGCTCTCTCTAGGCTGGGATGCAACCCTACTGTGCCTGCTGTGTTCATTGGCGGTGAACTTGTGGGTGGAGCCAATGAGGTCATGAGTCTTCATCTTAAGCGCTCCTTAATCCCCATGCTTAAGCGCGTCGGAGCATTATGGGTTTGATTTAGCTAATTAACTTACATAACAGGAGCTTAAGATTCCTAGTTATGCATGCTTGATATATTACTAAACAAAAAGAAATATCGGAGTCGGATTATATAATAAATATATAGCATATATAGAGCATGTAAGAGTTTTCAATAAGGTTATTAACTTATGATGTACTCTAGCTTTTTTGTAATACGCTATGTTTCTTGTTCTGGTTATTATAATAATAAAATCTTACTTTCATTAATCCTCGTATCGTACTGTTGGTAAGACTTGAGATTCCTAGTTATGCATGCTCGATATATGCATAGCATGTGAGAAATATCTGATCTATGCAAGTTTTACTTTTACGCGTGAGAGATGATTAGTAAGTAAATTTGATATATATGTGGAGAATGAAATGCATCATATATGGGTGAGAAAATAAGTTTGGACGGAGCGAATTACAGCAGAATTCTCAGCTCAATTGAACTGGGAACTCGCCATGGTTCCTCTTTACTCTCCTCTCTACTGAGGATTATATGATTTGGGCTTCTGCAGCCCTCAGCCCTCATGCTATTTTTAATTATTTTTGCAATACAACATATCTATACTACCTATTAAAAGCATTTCCATCTAGTTGATTTACATCGAGAACTAGACTTATATCAGTCACTATTTACTTAAATAGTAAATTTTCATGGTTGTTACTATTCCCTTCCACTCATTATGAATAGTAACTGACATGACTATTACTGTTCCCCGTGATTAGTGTCCTACTTATCGACATAATCTCATAAATTTTCTTCCACATATTAGGACACCTCTGCTCATTGTCCGTAACTGGACAATGGGTAACGGATTTCCAACGCTCACACAAGAAAACATCTTCGGCAGTGACCATGCGATTTCAACTTCGACTCCACCTTCGACGGGAAATGTCATTTTTGTAAGCACAAGTAAAATAGGAATAGACAATGAAATAAGAATGTAGAAAATAAAAGATTGTATAGAATTTGGTGTGGGAAGAGAAATTTTTTTTTTTAGTATTTACATACAAAATTTACAAGTAACTGTTAGAATACTTTTTATTTTTTTATTTGATTTTCTCATTTTTTCTAATTTTTTTCTGGATTTTTAAAAATTATTATGATGGAAAATAGTAAGAACCATAGGATTAAAGTGAGAGTTTGAAATGGATGTCCGCGATGTGGCCATGCTACTAGTGACCGTTGAAGTAACCGTTGGAAGCCCAATCGACCATTGTGATGGGCCCCAAGCGTCAGTTTCTATCGTGCCACTCTCTTAGGTGGGCACGTCACTAAGGGAAAATTGGCTATTTATAAAAGTCTAAGGGGATAATTGGCTAAAGTTAAAGCTAAGGGAGGAAATTAACCAATTATAAAAGTTCAGGAAAGTAATTGACTAAAATTAAAGTTCAAAAGAAAATAAGCAGTTCTATACAAGTTCAGAGTAAACCAACAAATACCTCAATATAAAAATTTGAGAGATTATATATTTGATCAAACCACAGATGTAGCACACTACGAATCGAAACGTGGAGGTAAAACAGAGATTTGATCTTTTGAGCTGACGAGCTGACGTTTGCAAGTCCCACGACAACCCCCAGGACATGCACACGAGCAGAAAAAATATGCATAATTTCGTAATTTAATTTTAAGTTTTTCTACAGTGACAACAATCTTTAAATACTTCCTGTGATTTTCATTTTTCAAAGAAAAACAAGACGAAATATGCACAACATGACTGTTTGGTAAGAATATCTTTTCATTCAATGAATGATAAGATTACAAGATTGTTGTATATATACAACTCATTTACACATGCCACTACCAATTACTCTTTAACTAACAAACTACACGCCTCAACAAACAAACAAATATCCAACTAACTCTAAGTATAATCCAACTTAATCATTTACACAATTACCCTCAATATCCCCCCCCTCAAACTAAGCCGAGGACTGCTAAGTGAGAGTTTGGATCGTAGAAGTTGAAATCTATCCTTAGAGAGAGCTTTAGTACAAATATCTGCTAGCTGATCCTGTGTGCAAACATAATGAACATAGATTTCTTTAGCCAAAACCTTTTCTCGAATGTTGTGGTAGTCAATCTCAATGTGCTGCATGAAACAACAGATTATTGGCCAAAGAGATAGCTGAAACTTTGTCACACCTGAGTTGAGGAATAGAATGAGTTTTGTAGCCAATATCAACTAACAATTTACAGATCCAAGTGATTTATGCAGCTGTGTTGGCAAGTGATTGATACTCAGCCTCAGTGGATGAATGAGCATTAGTGGGTCTTTTTGGCTTTCCAACTAATAATGGATGAGCCTAGAAAGATGCAGAAACCTCCAGTGGACTTTCTGTCAATTGAGCAGCTTGCCCAATCAGCATCGAAGAATGCTGTAATTGATGAAGTGGATGAACTTTTTGAAAACCACAATCCCATATCAATAGAGCCCTTAAGATACTTGAAGATTCTTTTCACTGCTTGATAGTGAGATTGCCGAGGACTATGCATGAATTGATAAACAAGATTCACAACAAAGGAATGATCGGGTCTTGTCTAGGTTAAGTATTGAAGAGCTTTTACTAGAGATCTATATTATGTAGGATTCTCCAATAAGGGAGATGTGTGGTCCAATTTAGAAGTACTCAGAGGAGTGACATAAGGTTTTGCTCCATCCATTTGTGCTTTCTTTAACAGATCCAGTATGTATTTAGTTTGAGAAATGTAAATGCCCTTGGATAATCTTTTAACCTCAATACCAAGAAAGTAATGTAAAGCACCTAAATCCTTGATGGGAAACATAGAACCGAGCTGAGCTATTACTTGTTTGCAAGTTGGAGGTGATGGTCCAGTGACAATGATGTCATCAACATAAACCAAGATAAACACCATTGGATTTGTTTTGACAAATAAATAATGATCATATTAAGAACCAGTGAACCCAGAGATGTCAAGGCTCTATGAAGTTTCTCATACCAAACTTTGGGAGCTTGTTTTAGGCCATAGAGTGACTTATGGAGATAACAGATATGAGTAGGATGAATAGGATCTTTAAAGCCAGGTGGCTATTGCATAAACACATGTTCAGTGAGATTACCATGCAAAAATGCATTGCTTACATCTAGTTGATTGAGAAACCAATCATATTATGCTGCCAAAGTGAGAAGAATTTGAATTGTGATAGGTTTAGCAACTGAACTAAATGTCTCAGTGTAATCTAAACCTTCTTAATGGTGAAAACCTTTGGTAATTAGACGTGCCTTGTACTTGTCAATAGTACCACCAGGTTTCCTCTTGATCCTGAAGACCCACTTGTAGCCTACTATATTTGTAAAATGAGATTTGGGAACCAAAGACCAGGTGCCAGTTTGTTTCAGTAAAAGGAACTCATGTTGCATAGCTTTAACCCAGTATGGATATTTGGAGGCTTGAAGATAAGTAGTGGGAACATAATCATGGGATAGGTGAAAAGGTAAATGGTGCTTGGTTGTAGTTAAAGTTTTAGGCTTGTAGATACCAGATTTTGATATGGTTTGCACTGGATGAATGTTGATGGTAGGATTTTGAGGTGGTGGATATCCACTGGTTAGAAGGGCTGGAGATACTTGAATATGCTCATATGGAGAGACTTGAGTATTCCCTTGAGTGAAGACACTTGATGATACATGAACATGTGTGAATTTGCTTGTAGAAAATGTCAATTGAGATAGAATAGAATGACTCAGAGAGACATTGGATGATGTTGATGCTGAACTTGATGTAGGAACTTGCTTGTGAAAAGGAAAGCTTGATTCATCAAAGATAACATGTTTGGAAACATATATCTTGTGTGAGCTGAGATCTAGACATTTGTAACCCTTGTGATTAGGACTGTAACCCAGAAAAACACACTGTTTACTTTTAGGATCCAACTTGGATTGAGAATAGGGTTGCAACCAAGGAAAACAACTGCAGAAAAATATTTTTAGAGTCTAATAAGAAGGTGATATGTTGAACAACAATTCTCATGGAGAAGCCTTGGATGTATTATGCATTTTATTGATCAGATAAATTGCAGTAGTTATGGTGATAATTTTGGTACATAGCATATTCTCAACATGATCTTTGAATTTTACAAAAGTACTGAAGATATCAAATTTGTGTTGCATAGGAAGGAACCAATAATATTTTGTAAAATCATTTACAAAGATGACATAGTACTTATGGTGATGTACAAAAGAAACAGATGATGGCCCCCAAACATTTGTGTGAAGGAGTTCCAAAAGCATTATTGATCTTTTCAATTTGTTAAAGGAATTATGCAGCAGAGGAATCTCCCTTAGTTAGGCTTCGAATATGAGATTGAAACTCATGAATATGCGATTGAGAGGCAGTCACAAGTCTCGATTCCAATTTAGCCCACATTTCTTTGAAAGAATTGACTCTAATAATATAATGGATCAACGAATCAACGAATCAGAAAGTATGGAGTTGATCCATATGAGAATGTTCTGATCATTCTTAAACTAGGTAACATAGGCTAGATTCAGAGTGCGATTTCCATTTGCATCAGTGAGAAATTGAAGCGGTGGAGTAACTGAGGCATCAGTGATGCTAGTAAGGTTGTAGTGACAAAAAATTAGAGCAAAGGCATTCCAGATCAAGTAATTCATCGTGGTCAGCTTGATCGGCACCAAAGATCCAATGTTCTGAATCATAATTGAAGCAGTTTGAGAGATGCTAGAGAAATTAGGGCTTGAATCAATGATCAGATGAGGATGAATGTGAGAACTAGAGTTAGAAAAGGGAGAAGCCGAAGTCGCCATTGAAATTTGTAGAAGAAATTAAGGTTTACAGGTGCAAAAAGCTTCAAGAAAGATGAAGCTTAGAGATGAAGAATTGCAAGAAAGCTTAGCAGCGAAGGTAGAGAGGATCTAGTCGCTAGACAGAGACGTGTGATACCATGTTTTCAAATTGAAAGTCCAACTTTCAAATTCTGCTCAGGGAACTAGAAGCCTAGAAGACAACCGAAACAAAATAACAACTCCAATGTAAGCCTTTTTTTAGCTTTGTTTTTGCGTTTAGGTTTTCGGGATACTGAATCCTCAGTACACTAAAGCTTGTTTACATTTTTCAGGGTGAATGTGATGTGCGGGTAAGGAGTAATTCCGATGAGCTTGATCACTAGTACACATTTGTTGTGTCGAAGGTTAGTAATTCAATGAGAAGGAGCTTTGAGAATTGGATGTTGTTG